GTTCTCACATTGAAGAACATATGTCATTTCTCTTTACATAGGTACAGTATTGGAAAGTTGTTTTAGGAAATATTGGGCCAAATGAGAGAGTATGGGACAGACATGCCTGGAAGGGGCTCTGGTTTGGTGTGATGACCAAGATGACATAGGTATGAAGATGGTAGAATTGGCTGCTTCACATCCCAGGTGATGCTTTAGCTAATGGAACTTCAGGCTAAGCCCCCAGAGCTGTCTCAGGTATGATGTCAAAGTCCTTTTAGAATAGAATTTTGGTGTGAAGTTGTTATTGGACCTCTCAAAAAATCCTGGTCCAGGAAGACAGAGGACAGGCTGGGCTAGTTTCTAGGATCTTCACCATTTGTTAAGAGTGAAATTAGCTGTAGAATACTTGAGTATGAATTAAAGATGAGAAGAATAGAGGTGACACTACTCTGGAATCCCCAGTTATTTAGAATGGAGAGATGATATTCATACTATTAATATCAGGGGTGATGGGAGAACTTCCAGTCTGCAGACATTCATTAATTAATTAACTGAAAATGTTTCTTGACTGCCAACTAAATGCCAAGCATATACCAGTGAGTAAGATAGGCAAGTCACTGGCAAGGTAGGCAAAAACAACTAAAGAAATACAGAAGAAATTAACATACTGTGATCATTGCTAACAGGATGAGAGATAAAGATGAGAGAGAATAATTAGGGGGAGCTGCTTTACATAAGGTGGTTAGAGAAGGCCTCTGTAAGGAGGTTATCTCTGAGTTGAGATCTGAAGGGTGAGAATGAGTCAGCCATTTGAAGAATTAGGGAAAGAATATAAGCAGACAGATCAGCCAGTGGAAGAACAGCAAGTAGAAGAAGGCTTAGTGTTTTTAAGGAACAAGAAGGAAGCCTGTTGGAACATAGTGAGCAAAGGGAAGTATAATGTGGGAATAAGTGGGAGAGTCAGGCAGCAGCTAAGTTAGGTAGGGTCTCTATGCTGCATTGGAGAGTTGGGTTTTATTCAAAGAACAATGGGAAGTCACTGAAGGGTAGTAAGCAGGGGAAGAAAATGATCTGATTCATGCTTTAAAAACATCTCTCTGGCTATTGTGAGTGAATAGACTAGAATAGAAGCTAGGATACCACTTAGGAAGCTATCGCAGTAAACCAGGCAAGAAAATATGGGAATGTGAGCACGGTTGATGGCAGTGAAGATGGAGAGAGGTAGATGGATGTGGAGCTAGAACTGACATGACTTGCTGTGGATTAGATATGGCAGGTGAGGCAAAGGCCGGGATCCGGTGTGACTCCCTAAGTTTTTGAGTTGAGCAACTGGATGGATGTGTTTCCATTAACCAAGATAAGGAAGATTGAGGGTTTTGGAATGTGCTGATTTTGGGGGGGCAGTGGGGGGAGATGGCATAAATGAGTGAAGGGGCCCTGGTGGTGACTACGGCAGAGAGGCAGTTCACAGTAGTTAAGAGCATGGACTCTGGAGCCAGACTACCAGGGTGTGAAAGTAGGCAATTTGCTTAACCTCTCAGTGCTTCGGTTTCCTCATCTGTAAAAAGGAGGATAGTAGTATCTACCTCATAGGGTTGCCATGAGGGGTTAAATTAGTTGATTTATATAAAGCTCGTAAAACAGTGTGTGGCATGTAGTATACCTGTATAAGTGCTACTTGAGGTTGTTTTTATTATTATAGAAGGAGCATCTGTTAACTCGGGTGATTGCTGCCATGTGAAGATAGCTGTCCACAGCTGTTTGGTCTTAGGATTTTTCAAGAAATTCCGGAAATACATATTTTTATGTGTGAAATTCCTCAGTTTTAAGCATTGTTAAACATCCTGTAAGCCAGATAAAACATGTTTGTAATTGCCGAGTTAGACTAATTAGCCCAGTTGTGTGGTATTTTTCTACAGTACCATTCAGCTCTGTGGGTGTGGATGGGGGGAAGGCAGATAGTTGGGGTCAGTTGAGCGGGAGGCTCTCCTGGTTGAGTCTAAGAGGAAGAGGGGACCCAAGGCTCAGGGTTGCAATGACAGGCCGTGGTAACTAGGTGGCCAAGGGAGGGAATAAACATAGGAGGAGGACCATGAGTAGTCAAATTGTGGTTAGGACCGTGGGTCAGGGAGACTGAAGAATTGCTGAAGTAGGGTTTCTACTGTAAGTGAACAGGAAGGACAGAAGGTTGTCATCGGAAAGGGTGATATTTGATTTTTTGTTTTTGAAGGTAGTGGAACTAGTAGTGATGACAGGATACAGGCGGTGAACATGGGCGAGAATGGCTGGGGTGGGTGGAGGAAAGAGTAACTAGAGTGACAGGCTAGGGTTGCCTGTCATTGATATGGATGTGAAATCCCCAAAATGTTTATGGGAGTGGGGTTTAGGGGGAGGCAGTGTGCGTAAGTCAAAACATTAGTGAATTAGGGCTGTAAACAGAGGACACATCAAGGAGTTATAGCAGGAGCCAATGAAGTGAACGTCAGAGGGTCTGGGGTTTAAGGGAATGGAGGAAAGAAATAATTTTAAAGTCACAATGGAGAAGCACGGAGGAGATATTCATCTTCCTGGTCTCTCAGATATGTGGGATTTGAGAGAGCAAATAGACTTCCTTTTAGAGACTCAAGGGAAGTGATAACATCAGGGGACAGGAAGATTTCAATTAAGGCCAAGGAGTTGCAGGAGCATTCAGAGAAGACATAGACGTTATAGGATCCTCAATGATCAAGTTCAGGCCTAGGAAAGGGTTTTAGGAAGAAGATGAGGGAAGGGGGAGGGGTTGAGTCAGGTTAGAGGATGGCTGTAGAAACACTGAAATGAAAGTCTTGGACTTCTGTAGGTGAGTAAGACAGAACATCTGCTGGAAGTCTCTTTTAGTTAAAAGACCATTTCTTGACAGGCTTTACTGCCAGCTTCTTCTGTCAGGCTGTAGGAATGACCCTGGAAAGCTACATAACTGTTGGAGTTTCTTCTGTTGGAAAGTGTGATCTGTGCTCTCTCAAGGGGTCTGTTCCTGAAGTCCAGTTTTTAAGAGTTATGCTCCAGTCAAATTCACAAATGCTGTTCTGGAACAAGGCTTTTATCCTTCCCTGTATGCTTTTATATGTTGAGAAGTTTGGGATAGAGAATCAAGAATAAAATCTCTAACTCCCTTTCAATATTTTTTCTTTTAAATAGAACCTAGATGCAGCCCTGAGCAACCTATTTTCTCCAAGTCGAACTTTGGCCTCTGAGTGCTCTGTATTTAAAGACACTTTCAAACCAGAAGGCATTCTCATCTTTATATTGCTTCATGTGATAACCATTCACTGACCTTGAAGGGATGATAGAAGAATAGAAATTGGGGGTGTGTGTGTGTGAAGAAAACTTAGGCCAGAAGAAAGTGCCAGAAATCAGAAAATGAAATTGCGAGAGATTTAATTTCAGTGAATATTACTTTCATTTGTGTGGAGTCTCTTCCTCTTACTAGGCTGTAAGCTCTACGAAGGCAGAGACTGGCTATTATTACTCTCCATTGGATCCCCTATCACTTAACATAGTGCCTGTTATGCTCATCAGGAATTATTTGTTGAGTGAATGGGTGAATATTTAGGATAAATGTAAGCTTTTTTCCTCTCTCCCTCAACAAGAAACAGCTGTCTTAGAAGTGAATTTGCTGAGACACTCTTAACAAGGGACTGGCCTCAGGGAGCTTTGCTAACCTTGTCTCCCGGCCCCTCCCTCTGATGGGGAAGAGTGAGTGTTTGCCGTCTCAGCCACTTCTGCCAACACAGTGTCCTCTACTATACTTTTGATTTATCTGCAGTTTTGCTCTTCCATCAAGAACCAGGTCAAACACCATCTCTGAAGACTTTCCTGGTACTACGACTGTACCCTCACGTACTGTATTCTTCATGTTTTCCTTTAAAGCAAGAACCAGCCTTCGTTATCATTCTCTCCCCCACATTGTCTCAGGGTCTTGAACATAGTCAGTACTTAGTAAATAATTGTTGAATTAAGTACTGAATGGTCATTTGTAGTAGTCTGTTTGGGATGTTAATGATGTTGTAAACTGTGGTGTGCACATTTGTGATTTAAACATTATACCAGTGAAAGAAAGAAACTATTTTCTACTTTATTTTATTTCCTTACCTATTTTGTTAATTTTGTATCTAAGACTTTCAACATTTTAGGGGGAAATGTTATTTCAAACACTTTTGCAAGATATCCTTTGAATCTGGCTGTTAGGAAAATAACTGCTTCCATCCATGTGTTCCAGTGGCCTGTAAATGCAGCTGGAACCTGGAGAGGGTTACAGCTTCCTGCAAGAAGCTAAAATACTGAACTGCCATTGAAGACGGCCCCCACCTGCACCCCTGTGCATAAATAGAAGCAGACCCTGATTTGGTGCTGGAATAACATGAAGTTGAAGGCAGAGTGGGTGGCCTGGCTGTTGGAGCCGTTTGCATTAAGAGCTGGTTATGGGCCATTTTGAATTATTGACTCATTCAGCTCTGCAGAGGGGCCAGAGTAAAAAAAATATGCATCCAGTCTCTTGAGGCTAAGTATCCAGATTGGAAATCGACCTATATCACTTTGAAAATTGTCACAGAAACAAGCAATTGTGGAAAGGTCTTGGAACTGGGAGAATAAAAAAGGTCATTATATAGTGAGATATCATCCCCAGATAATTTTGTTCTTAAAGTCAAGGTTAAAATTTGAAGACTAGTATATAGGAGCATCTAAAATCCCATTAGTTGTTACTTTTCTACTTTAATCTCTGTTGTTTCTCATCTTTTCCTATTCACAGCAAGATGCCAGTTTGAGCTTTCAGTTTTTGATGGAACCCTGTGTTACATACATCAGTATAAATCATGTTTCATGCATTTAATGAACAGTTCTCATGCATCTGACTTGTTTTCTAGATCAAACTGTTTAATTAATTTAAAAGCTTTTTATTGGAGAATGACATACATATGTTTTCCATTATAAATATATAGCTAGTTAGATTTTTACAGATTTTATTTTTTGTTTTAAAGGGTGTATTGAGAATCAATCCAAAGAAGTTTCATGAAGCCTTCATTCCTTCCCCGGTAAGTTCAATAACTTTATAATAAACTTAATGTCACATTTAATTTTTTGGATGTGCTCTGAAACCGAAATCATATAGTCTAACTAAAAAGCAGAGTAGTAAAACAAAATTGAGGATGGGCAAGGATTTGTTTCAAATTTAAATAAACAAAAATTGTCTTTGGTTCACAATCCCTTCTGCCAGTCCTAAAGTCACATGCCAAATCAAAGGGACAGCATTTGTTACAAGACTGCAGAGAGCAGCTGGACCTAGGCAGACTACCCACTAGTTCATGTAATTGGATGCCCTTGGTTTTTAGCTTAAAAAGATTTATGGTTTTTTCCACTGATTTAGGTTAATCTTTCCTAAACAAATATGCTATCTACTTTCGATCTACTGCATGAGCTAATCTGAACATCGTCCAAAAATAATGTGTAATGCTTTTTTTTCTGGTCAGACTTTCTTACTTCACTTTCATGCAGGTGATAGGACTTGGTACGAGGCTCTTTACCATTGGATGGTTAGACTCTTTCTTACATTCATGACTCACTTTAAGAGGCTCCCTCCAGCTAAAGCAAGTTTGCACTGACATATAACTAGCAGCAGGTCTCTGGAGAAGGACTGATTGTGCAAACTGGGAGAACAATATTCTTAAATCCCTGACCTAATTTTTCCAGGATGCCATAAATAGGATAGCTATAGAATCAGATTTTTCACAGTGGAAGAGACCATAGGGATAAACGTCTGCTTATCGATGAGGAAATGAAATACATATATTCAGTTAACATATTTCATTATGTTAAATAACACGTTTAGTGAGAGTATATGTTCAGTCATGTACTTCATGGGTGTTATTGTTACAATATTATTATTGTTGTTATTATTACAATAACATTCAGACCTATTCTCAACCTCCCTTTAGTCCTTTTTTCCCTGCCCTCCAGAAGCCAAGGATTCACATTAGCATCCGAGTTAAGTCTTAGCCATTGAATTAGATAAAAAGTACCACTGACATGTCACACATTGTTCTCTCTGAGTTACATTCTGCCCCTGTGACAGGACATGGTATATTTGTTGACGCTGGTACTTGGGTTGTAGAATTGAGGGTTAGCTTTGAGGTGGTAACTTAGCTGCAGTAGCAATTCCCTCATACAGTGGGAGTGCAGTTCACATGGGTGTTAGATTCTAGAGTTTGCTTGTAAAGTGAAAATCCTATACAGGAATCATAAAAATTACCCATGAAAATCTCTTAGGAAAGTGCCATGCTGGAGATGTATAAACCATCTCTTAATAAGTCTTTCATAACCAACGTTTTCTTCACATCAGAAAGAATGGCTGTTTCTTCAGGGGCATAACAGTCGAAGGATCTTGATTATATTAGGAGTCCTCATGTGTGAAAAACATGGATTTTTTGTTGTTGTTTTTTAATTTATTTATTGAATCAAAAGCGATTATACATATTTTGGGGGTTGAACATTGAGATATGTTGATCAAATCAATATTACTAGCATATGTATTGTTACAAATTGTAATTATTCTTTATGCCCCTTGTCCGATCTCTCCCCTTCCTCCATTCCATCCCCCTCTCCCCTCTAATTACCCTAGATTTCTTCTCTCCTTCTGAAAGAATCATGGTTACTCTCTTAATTTGTTGCCTAGATGATCTGTCCAATGCTGAGAGATGTGATTGGGTCCCCCAATATTATCATAGAGCAGATGCCGCTTCTGTCACTCTGAAATGGGCTTTGTGGAAAGAGACATCCTCTTCTTTTCTTTGACTCTGCTGGTGACTTTCCTTATGTGAATGTCCTCCAGTGGTTGGTGGACCATTTGTGCGGTGCTTGTGGTGTCTAGGCACTTTCGCGGCAGCCATGGTTATTGTGGAGGCTGCAGTGGGCCATGTACATGGAGGTGCTGTTTCTGGTATGTTCCTTGGCTCTGGCGGTATGCCGGGTTGTGGGGTGTGTTTGGTCCCCTTCTCCATGTCTCTGGTCCCTGGGCAGGCTCCGAATTGCCAGTGCCATGTGCCAGGTTGTGAGAGGTGTGTCCAGTCCCCTTCTCCATGCCTTGGGTCACCAGGTGAGACCCAAGGAGCTGGCTTGGTGTGCCTGGTTGGGGAGGAGGGTCCAGTCCCTTTCTCCATCCCCCAGGTCTCTGGGCAGGCCCCAAGGTGCTGGCATGGTGTGCCTGGTTGAGGGAAGGTGGTATGGTCCCCTTCTCCATATCCCGGGTCTCTGGGTGGGCCCTGAGGCACTGGCATGCCTGGTTGTGGGAGGAGAGTCCAGTCCCCATCTCCATGCCCCAGGTGGGCCTGAGGCACTGGCATGGTGTGCCTGGTTGTGGGAAGGTGGTCCAGTCCTCTTCTCCATGCCCCAGGTCCCTGGGTGGGCCCTGAGATGCTGGCACAGTGTGCCTGGTTGTCAGAGAGACGTCCGGTCCCCTTCTCCATGCCTTGGGTCCCCAGGCGGGCCCTGAGGCACTGGCATGGTGTGCCTGGCTGTGGGAGAGAGGTCTGGTCCCCTTCTCCATGCCCTGGGTGCCCAGGTGGGCCCCAAGGCGCTGTCCTGGTGTGCCTGGTTGTGGGGAAGAGGTCTGGTCCCCTTCTCCATGCCCCGGGTCCCTGGGCAGGCCTCGAGACACTGGCTTGGTGTGCCTGGTTGTGGGAGAGAGGTCCAGTCCCCTTCTCCATGCCCTGGGTTCCTGGGCAGGCCCCGAGGTGTTGGCATGGTGTGCCTGATTGTGGGAGAGAGGCCCGGTCCCCTTCTCCTTGCCTTGGGTCCCTGGGAAGGCCCTGAGTTGCGGGCATGGTGTGCCTGGTTGTGGGAGAGAGGTCCAGTCCTGTTCTCCATGCCTTGGGTCCCTGGGCAGGCCCTGAGATGCTGGCACGGTGTGCCTGGTTGTGGGAGAGAGGTCCAGTCCCCTACTCCATACCTTGGGTCCCCTGGTGAGCTCCAAGGTGTTGGCATGGTGTGCCTGGTTGTGGGAGAGAGGTCCAGTCCTGTTCTCCATGCCTTGGGTCCCTGGGCAGGCCCTGAGATGTGGGCATGATGTGCCTGGTTGTGGGAGAGAGGTCTGGTCCCCTTCTCCTTGCCTTGGGTCACTGGGCGGGCCCTGAGGCTCTGGCACGGTGTGCCTGGTTGTGGGAGAGAGGTCCAGTCCCCTTCTCCATGCTTTGGGACCCTGGGTGGGCCTGAGGTGCTGGCACAGTTTGCTTGGAAGTGGGAGTGGGGTTCAGTCCCAGAATCCAAGCCTCTGGTTCCCAGGAAGGCCCCAAGGTGCTGGTGGTGTGCCTGGGCCGGAACTAATTTTTTGTCCTTTGCTTCTAACACAGGGGAACTTCCTGTGGGATCCAGTACTTGAGTGTGTGGTTGTTTAAATTGCTGCTTTGCTACTGTTTCCCTAGGGAAGGCTTTTTGTGCAGCTCAGCGTTTAATAGTTGACATAATAGGTACTTCCGTCTCTCTAGAGACTCAGTAGATCTGTGTTCTGTAGAATCTCTGATCTGGGCCTGAGTTTTTTCATCAAACTGCACCCCATGCAATTCTGTATTCCTGACCAGTCTTTTCTGAGTGGTCCTGTGTTGATTGAGGGACAGGTTGTCTGTCCTTGCTGTGTCCCAATGTTCTCCTGGTGTTCCCATCTTGCCCACCGCCCACGCTCCAAACACTTCCCATGGGACCATCCTGGTGCCGTCCCTTGCAATGACTCACCAGCCTCTGAGTGGCTCCTTTTTTCTGGTTGTTCTGGCTCCTCACTCCTATGTGGGTCTGTGGGAACCCTATTAGTGGTCTTGCTGTCCTGGGGCCCACCAAGGCCCTCTTCTTCCCTTCCGCCTCTAAGTAACTCCATCTGAAGGGCACAGCTGTGGCTTCTGCTGGCTCCTGCTCCATGTGCTCAGCAGCTCCAGCCTTAAAGCGGCCGTGGCCCAAAACACTCAGAGCAGCTTTTTCTTTCTCTCATTGTAGTTTCTCCCACCTTCATGAACTCTGTAGGTCTCCCCTCCCCTTCCCCTGAGCTCCAGTGGCCCCAGCTTGGCTGATGTTACATTTTTATAGTTGTAAATTGGTTGATTTGTGGGAGAGAGTGACGCTGGGGACCGTTTATTCAGCCATCTTGACCGGAACCCCCTTGTAAATCAAAACATGGGTTTTTAAATATGAGAATTACCCTTAATGCAGTAAAGAGTTCATTCTGAGAGGTACCTGGGAACTGAGGAGATTTCAAACCTTTCTTCTCCTATGCCTGCTGAGGTTTATGCTCATTAATGGGAATGATAAGGGGAACTACAGCATTTTGAAAATTTTACTGCTTGCTTTCTCTCACAACTAATACACAGTATGGAGTTTTCCTAGTATCAAATTTCCTAGTATTTAAATCTCTTTTAGGTCAGCTCCTAACAAGTATGGGGCCTAGGACAAAAGTACAAAAGGAGGCACACATACCTTGCATTGAAAAATTATAAATCAAACTAACAAACTATTAAGTAAAATATATTCCATGACAAATGAAGTAAATTCCTTGCCGAATATAACTCCATGTACCTGGGTTCAAACGTAGAATTCTCAGATTCAGTAGAGTTCTGTGCTAAAATGTGGCTGCATAGAAGGGGTCTGCCTCTAGCCTGCCTCTCTTCCCTTCCCAAGCCTGGTTCCTTGTCCCCTCTTGGCTTCCCTGCATTCAGTGAGGGCCCTTGAATGCACATACATGGGCATCCCCTCCCACATGTCTAAACTGTATCCATACCCCTTAGAAATACCTGCCCTATATCCTTCTGCCAAGTTCAGGGTGTGCCACTGGTTGTGGAGAAGATGCCTGTGTGTACCCTGGAAGTGGGCTTGGGGCTGATTACTCCAGGGGGTTATATCCATTTGGCCCTGGGAACTCCTTGCCTGATGGGGAGGGGTGAGTCTGAAGCAGGGCTGGGCAGAGGTCTACTAATGTGCTGGGCCTGGTTAGGTTCCTGCAAGTTAAATTCATGTAATTTACACTCCTGGTTTGTTAAAGGAAAACTAGGAAACAAAAGTACATTTAGTAATGTTTTAAAAGCTCGTAGTTGTTCTCTTACTTGAAATTGTATTCCTGGTATGTTCTTTTTAGAAATTTTTATACAGTTGTTATATTAGCACTGGTTTATTTCTGTGCCTCTTTTATTCTTGTATATGGTCCCTGATGGAGTGGTAATATTGTCTCAGAGGGTGGAAAAACAACTAAATATTTCACCTCTAGGTAATTAAGTACAGACTGTAAAAGCTACTATTAAGGCCCAATTGCACATGATTGTAGATACTCTAGTTTTAGACACTGGAGCAGTCCTACATTCTTGTTTTGTGGGGGTTTTTTAGGTCAGTTTCAGTTTTCAGAAGCATCATAGAAAGCAATTGAAGAGGGCAATAGAGTCAGTAAATTACACATAGATAAACCCCACAACCACTAGTGGTCTGGATTTCTGAGTATATGTAGCTCATGTCCATGTCAAGTATGAGCTTGTATGAACTGGAAAAATGCTCACAGGTAGATTGGGAAGTAGTATGTCAGAACCAGGGCCTGAATGTTTATCTGTACCTTGCTTAAGCTGGGAGAATAAAGACAGGAATTGATATTAAATAAGATGTGGCCTCTACTCTAGCAGTAGGAAATAGAAAGGTTTCCTTATTTATAAAATGGGGTGGGGTGGATTAAATATTGTCTAATGTTTCTCACAACTTCAAAATTCTACAGGTTTTGGAGAGACAAAAATAGAGATTTGATTAAATTATTTAGGTTTACTTTTACTCTAAAAATGGTTGTGAACTTATTCAGTGTTATTTTCTCTGCCAAAATATCTACCTAAGTCAACAGGCTAAGAACAGTGAATTGATCTTCAGGTATAAAATAATACTTTGTTTTGGGAGAACTTGACTTAGGCTCATTATAATTTCTACTGAGAGATAGTTCATTTTCATTTTCTTATGACAAATCCAAAATACATGGGATGAGTCAGGTATGTGTACCTGCTAGTCTCCTGGGGTTCTCAATACAAGTAAAATACGGAAAATAAAACCATGTGACTTTCTTTTTTTTTTTTTTTCCTTTTTGTCTTTTTTCATGACCGGCAACGGATCGCAACCCTCAGTGTCGCGCCCGTACCGGCCCGGGACCGGCAACGGGATCGCAACCCTCGGTGTTGCTCCCTGCACCTCGCTCAGCCAGTGAGCGGGAACCGGTCTGTATGTGGGATCCGAACCCTCGGCGGGAGCGCCGCCGCACTTCCCAAGCGGCGCACTATAGCAGTGCGCCACCGGGCCGGCCCCGAAACCATGTGACTTTCAAGCTAACCAAGATAATATGATGTTATTGAGATGCCTTTTTATCCTATTTGGGAATAGGATAAAGGGGGTAAATGAGCCAGATGGAAAAACCTGGTTTTTTAAAAAAGCACAGTATCTATTCTGAATTATGTTGGTGCAGAAGCTCTGCAATTTTTTTTTATGTATCTTAGGCTTTGTACAGCTGTGGAATTTATTTCTAGTCCAAAGGGAGCTATTCTGTTGCTGGGGGATGCTCTGATCATCGTGGTGTACTTGTGTTGTCCTCCCTCCTCCAGCCCCCTAAGTATTTAGTTAGATTACACCCCAGATCCTTTTATATTTCTTTTAGGGATGTTCATTATCGATCATCGTGGTGTACTTGTGTTGTCCTCCCTCCTCCAGCCCCTTAAGTATTTAGTTAGATTACACCCCAGATCCTTTTATATTTCTTTTAGGGATGTTCATTATCCATTTTTTCTGTTTTTTTCTGATGGTAGAGCAAGTCTTCTGGCATTCAGATAAAGAGCTGAACTCTTTGGCCTTAAAAAGTAGTTAAGAGGTATGACTAAACTTTTAATATTGAGTTATTCTCAAGTTTAGTATCTTTAAAATAAGAGATTCAGCAGTAGATACAGGTTTCGGGATGAATCAAGGAAGAGCTGAGTAGTGATGCAAGAGCTATAGATTTGTGTGTTGTTTGAGGTTCAACTCAGCCCTGCTTTCCTTGGTTTCTTGGGAGGGGAAGATGACAATACCATCATCTTAACATCTTAAATCCCTGAGCTGCCAAAGGGTGCTTGTAGCTGCTTACAGAAGAGTATTTCACTGCATATATTTTGACACATGAGAAGGGGTAGATGACCTCCAAACAGCTCTCTTCATTCCTCAAGGTCTGAGAGGTTGTATTGTTTTAAAAATTGCAGAAGTCTGCGATTGATGCTGATGTGCCCCACTGCAGTTGTTCACTCTCTATGTATCAGTGTATCAGCTGTCTCTCCTTTATTTCTCTCAGGAGCTCATCATGAGGTAAACTGTAGTAATTCTTTGTGGCTAACATGGTAGCTGTTCTTCAGGGACTAGGGTGGGGTCAGGTTTGGCAGAGTATGTAGGCCACAGCTGCCAGCCCATAGCTAGATGGGAAATTGAACAGAAAAACGGTTCTAAAATATCTGTAATTTTTTTCCCCTCTCTAATGGTTTGTAATTGGAAACTATAAAAAGTGCTGAGTGACTAAAATCCCATTTTTTTCTTTTCTTTTTGGTTTGGTGATTTTTGGAATGCTAATTTTGACTTAAATTTCATAGTAATAACTTTCATTCCATTGAGTGTTAAATCTTATCTATATCCAGTGTCTTTGTTAGAAAAATTTGAGTGGTGACTTTCCAGACCCTTTTGCTGTTACCTCCTATAAGAAAAATTAACATTTTAGAAAAATTAACATTTTACGTCTCTCTTATCCTTGGAAAAGGAGCACATAGTATAAACTTTTGGAAGAATAAAAGGATAAGAGTACATGTTTGTTGATGAAACATTTTGAAACTATTTAATTTTCTCATGGAACCAGACTGCTGAAGGTCTGCTTTTCCTTAACTACTTTTCCATTTAAGTGTTTTTCTGTAAAGTCATTTGGCTTATCAGGAAGATCTTAGCCCCTGTTTAAGTTAAGAAGTTCACTGGGGAGCCACACTGCTTAAAGTGAGTTGTTTCTGAGTTTGTGATTGACCATGAAGATGTCTGTGCCTCGTGTTCATGGTCTGGAGATCACCCTGCTCTTAATTCAGTGAGATAGGTGGAGTGTGAGAATGCTTTGTGAATCTCATGTTATGCCTATTTCCTTCTCCTTTGCTTTCTTCTTAGGTCTCTATAAAAGCCACCACAATTTGTTTTCTCTGCCACTTTCCTGGGGGACAATATAATTTTGTTGGTTTCCTTTTAGAGAATCCAAATCCTGCTCCTGCCATCAGTTGGTTTTCTTGGGGGATTATATGTTGTTCCTCTTCTGTTTGCTTGCCTATCTTCTATTTTTTACCCTTCCTTTATATGTACAAAAAAATCCATTTAGTATTTTAAAAAGGTATTAGCATGCTTTGTTTTATTTAAAACAAAAAAGGGATAACCTAAGAGTACTCCTTTCAGATTTTAATTATGCAGTCTCTGTTTTTTTCTTTAAAAAAAAAAAAATCTGTAGTAGATCCTTTGCTTATTTGCTGATTTTTAGCTTTCTGCTACCCTGCTCTTATGTGTTCCTTAATATTTGCATTAGTTCCAAAGAGATTGAGTTCCCTTTAGGTGTATGTATTAGTCTGTTTTCTGTCACTTATAACCGAATACCTGAAACTGGGTAATTTACAAAGAAATGCAATCTATTTCTTACAGCCTTGATTGCTGGGAAGTCATAGGTCAAGGGAGCACATCTGCTGAGGGCTTCTTCTTAGTGGAAACTCTCTACAGAGTCCTGTGGCAACGCAGGGTATCACACAGCAAGAGGTTGAGCCAGAGTGCATTCCCACATGCATCTTCTTCTCCTTATAAAGTCCCCAGTGTACTCCCTGATAACCCATTAAACCATCAATCTGTTAATCCATGAATAGATTAATCCATTCATAAGGGCATAGACCTCAGGATCCAGTTACCTCTTAAAGGCTCAACCTTTCGAATACCATATTGGCGAGTAAGTTCCAACATGAGCTTTGAAGGGGACAGACGCTCAAACCATAGCAGTGTGTTTGTGGCTGTGTACTAGTTTTCCTGTTAAGTTATGAGACTAAAAATTTTAAACCAAGGAAGTAATTTTTGGTTCTAGGCCTTGGTGAACTTACTATTGTTTTATTTCTCTCTCCAATCTAGGATGGTGATCGAGACAACTCAAACCGTAGCAGTGTGTTTGTGGCTGTGTACTAGTTTTCCTGTTAAGTTATGAGACTAAAAATTTTAAACCAAGGAAGTAATTTTTGGTTCCAGGCCTTGGTGAACTTACTATTGTTTTATTTCTCTCTCCAATCTAGGATGGTGATCGAGACATTTTTATTGATGGGGTTGTTTCTCGTAATAGAGCCTTAAATGGGGATCTGGTAGTCGTGAAACTGCTTCCTGAGGAGCAGTGGAAGGTGAGTTAATTTTTTTTTTCTAATTATAGATTTCTTAAGGCCTTTTGCATTCTATGGTGTGCCAGTGAGGTATCACAAACTGGAGGAGTTAAAGACCGCTCAGGCCCTGTGCTAAAGTTAAGTGTTGCCTAGGAAGCAGGCTGCTGAATGGTTGGGACTTAGAAGCATCTGCTAATGCTAATAGTTTGAATTGTTCTTGCTCCCTCTTTAGCAGACTGTCTGCCCTGTCACATGCCTTGCATTGGTTTATGATGTTCTTTCAGATACAAGAAAAGCTTGCATGGCCCATTCAAACTTGATACGTATTATTTTCTTACATCTTATGCTGGGAGAACTGGAAAGACAAACTCATGGGGACAGTGGCAGCCTTCACACATTTCTGCTGCCTCTACTAGAAAACTTAGGTAATACATACGTAGTTCTTTGGGGCCCAGTTTGGTGATTGGGTATCCCTTGGTTGATAAAAATAGTGTATACATTTTAAAAAACAGGGATTTACTGGCAGAACAAAAAGAAAGCTACGTACTAATACTCCCCACAAACATAGACGAAAAAATCTTCAACAGAACGCAGTTGTCCCTCAGTATCTGTGGGGGATTGGTTCCAGTACCTCCCACGATTACCAAAATCTGTGGATGTTCAAGTTCCTGATATAAAATGGCATAGTATTTTCATGTAACCTATGCACATCCTCCCATATGCTTTAATCATCTCTAGATTACACATAATACTTAACACAATGGAAATGCTGTGTAAATAGTTGTTATATTGTTTAGGGAATAATGACAAGAAAAAAAAAGTCTGTATATGTTCAGTACAGACCCCATTTTTCTTTTAATTATATTTTGATCGACAATTGGTTGAATCTATGGATTTGAAACCCATGGATATGGATGGCTGACTGTATTAGCAAGTAGAATCCATCAACATGTAAAAAGGATAATATAACATGAGCAAGTGGCTTTATCCCAGGAATGCAAAGGTGGTCTAATATTTGAAAAACAACTCTGTAATTCACCGTATTAACAAACTAAACTTGACACTGTATTTCAATCAAACATCATTTCAGTAGATGCAGAAAATGCATTAGACAGAATTCCATAACCACTGGTGATAAAAACTCACAACAAACTAGGAATAGAAAGTCAATTCCTCAACCTGATAAAGAACATCTTGGAGATACTTAGAACTAACATCATTCATAATGGTGAAAGACTGAATGAGATAAGAATGTTCCTTCTCATCCCTTTTATTCAACATTGTGTTAGGAATTCTAGCCAGTACAAAAAGGCAGTAGAAAAGAAAGTATCCAGATTAGAAAGAAGCAAATACAACTGTTTATATTCTCAGACTATATGATTTCCTGTATAGAAACTCCTAAGACATCTCCAAAAAAAAAAAAAGCCTATAAAACTAATAAGTGAGTTTAGCAAGGTTGCAGGACAGAAGGCTAATATACAGATACCAATTATAAGTCTATATACTAAGGGTGAAAAATTGGGAATTAAAAATTTTCTTAAAGTACCATTTACAATAGGATCAAAAATATGAAATGCTTGGGTAGATTTGACAAAAAAATGTGTAAGACATGTACATTAAACCTATAAAACATTACTGGGAGAAATTAAAGAAGAACTCAATAAATTCTGAGAAATACCATGTTCATGAATTTAAAAGACTTCATGTTGTTAAGATGCCAGTTCTACTCAAATTGATCTACAGAATCAGTGCAATAGCCAACAATGTACTAGCAGTCTTCTTTATAGAAATTAACAAGCTGATTTTAAAATTTGTAAGGAAGTGCAAAGGACATACAGTAGCCAAAATAAAGAAGAACAAAGTTGGAGTACATACATTGCCTGATTTTAAGACTGATAAATCTCTGATCATCAAAGCAGTGTAATATTAATGTTAGGATAGACATATGATTAATTGGAACAGAAGAGAGAATCCAGAGAAACCCAAACATAAATGATTAATTATTTTTCTATAAAGCTGCCATGGCAATTCAATGGGAAAGGATATCTTTTCAACAGATATGCTGTAACAATTGTGTAGCCGTATGAAAAAAAATGACATTCAACCTTTACCCTCATACTCTATAGAGACATTAACTTGAAGTGAATCATAGATCTGAATGTTTGTGTAAAAAGCATAAACTTTCTAGAAGAAAATATACGAGTAAATTGTAGTAACCTTAGATTTGGCAAATATTTCTTAGGTATAACAACAACAAAAAGAAACATAAAATAAAAAACATCACTAAAACTGACTTCATTATAATCATAAACTTTTGCTCTTCAATAGACACTGTTATGAAAATGAAAAGGCAAGCCACAGACTAGCGAAAATATTTGTAAAACATTTATCTGACCAAGAAATTTTATCTAGAATATAAAGAAATCTTGTAACTCAATAATAAACAACCAAATTACAACATGTACTAAAGGTTTGAACAGATACTTTACTAAAGAAGATATATATATATATTTTTTTTGTCTTTTGTCTAAAGAAGATATTATTGATGGCAGATAAGTGTATGAAAAGATGCTCAACATACTTAGTTGTTAAAGAAATACAAATTAAAAGCACAAGATACCACTACAGACTCACTAGAATAGTTAAGGTTAAAAAGACTGACCGTAACCAGTGTTGATGAAGATATGGAGCAACTGGAACTCTAATACACTGGTGGTAGGAATATAAAATGGTACAGTCACTTCAAAAAACAGTTTTGCAGTTTCTTAAAAAGTTAGGTATACACCTGTCAGATGGCCCAGTTATTCCACTGTTGAATATTTACCTTAGTGAAATGAAAGCATTTACCCACATAAGGACTTGTACATGAATGCTCATAGCAGCTTTATTTGTAATAGCCCCCAAGTTGAAACAACCTAAATGTCCTTCAGCTTGTGAATGGGTAAACCAATTTTGGTATATCCATACAATGGAATACAACTCAGCAGCAAAAAAGAAAGTGAACTGTTAACACATGCAACAATCTAGGTGAATCTCAAAATAATTATGATAAGTGAAAGAAGCCAGGAAAAAAGGATTATACTCTGTGTGATTCTGTTTATATAGAACTCTAGAAAATGCATACTTATTTAAAGTGACACAGAGCAGATCAGTGGTTGCCTGGGATGGGAATAGGAGAAATAGATTACCAAGGGACCCCAAGAAAACTTTTGGGAATGATGGATGTGTTTATTATTTGGATGGGATTGTTTCATAATAGTATATGTATGTCAGAACTTATCAATTTGCACACTTTAATTATATGTAGTTTATTGTATGTCAGTTATGTCTCAGTAAAGCTGTAAAAAATACTGAAAATGAACAAACAAAAGATGATGATTGCACAAAGAGTCTGGAGTTCCAAGGAGAGATTAAAGCTAAAGATGTAAATTTGGGAGTCATCAACATATATATGGTATGTAAAATCACATTTGTGGATGAGATCACCTGGAGACCAGAGCTAAAGTAGGGGAGAAGGCTGAATACTAAGTTTTTGGGCAAGCCAACATTTAGAGGTCGGGTAAGGAAAGTGTAGAGAGTCCTGTGCCCAAGCTGTATGGGTGCATGAATCATGGTGGCCAGATTTCAGCTGTGCCTAGTTTAGGGAAGAGGCTGATGCATTCTGAGGGTGTAGGGAGCAGAGATCCAGTGAAATATGGTCAACAGACTCAGGCTTTCATAGTCCATGTCCTCTGCTCGAATCTTGAGGGCATTTCTGGATCTACCTTGTTTGCCTCTTCATACCTATCTGCTGGAAAGAGGAAGCTTCATGCAAAGAGTCAGCATGTCTTTAGCTCTTAATCAAGAATGAGGAAGATGTTTAGTGAAATCTGTCCTCAGGAGTAACAGTAGGAGCCAAGTCCACAGAAGGCAAAGTCAGAAACTTTTGATAAAAGAGCCTATCTGCTGTAATTTGAATGTACCCCATGTATTATTTTGGCATTCCTTTAGAGTGTAGAAACTTACTTCTCAGTCAGCAGCAAACCTCCCCCAAAGCAAAAGTCTCTCTGTTTATCCTCTGGGACAGTCTAGTCTGAGTATCTTCAATGACCAGTCTTGGGGAGAGAAGTACTCTAGGGGCTAGAGTGAGCTGTGGCATCTTTCAAGTCAAAAGGAAAATAGTCTGAGTCCCTGAGTCCTGGGTGCTGGCTGAGGCCTCAGAAATGGTGTTAGAGCTTAATGGTAGAAAAGCCTCTGATGGTTTCCTTACCAGTGCCAAAGAGTTGTAAATCAGCATGCGTCAGGGGAGCTTTGGAGTCCTCTTGGCTTTGGAGGCTGCCTCCACCTTGCAAGTGGGGCAAGTTCTTTATCAAGAAGCATAGCAACCACTGTTATGCATGGGAACGGACAGCCCTGGAGTCTAGGCGGGTGGGCAGAGGGAAGTAGAGGGGGCTCAGCAGGCCAATTAATATTCAAGAGTCTGGAGAGGAGATGGTATTCAAGAGAGAGGTCTGCTGAGGAAAGCCAAGAGTAGCAGTTTCATGTCTTTGAGAAAGATGGATGTGAGGATGCCTCATTAGAACTGAGCCAATCTGGCCGGCCCTGTGGCGCACTCGGGAGAGTGCGGGGCTGGGAGTGCAGCGACGCTCCCGCCACGGGTTCGGATCCTATATAGGACTGGCCGGTGCACTCACTGGCTGAGCGCGGTGCGGGCAACACCACACCAAGGGTTGTGATCCCCTTACCGGTCACGAAAAAGACAAAAAAAAAAAAAAAAAAAGAACTGAGCCAATCTTATAGAATGGTGCTTGACTTTAACCTGCAAATGAGTCAGCTGGGGATTTAGGTAGAATGAAAATTATCATTCAGTAGGTCTGAGATGGTGTCCAAAATTGTGCGTTTCTAACAAGTTCCCATGCAGCGTTGATCCTGCTGGTTAGGGAACCACACTTTGAGTAACAAAGCTAGGGAGAAAAGAAGCAACTAGGAAGCTTAAGCTAGGGCTTAATGCTTTGGGCCCTGGATCTTAGACCTGGCTGGCA